AGAGTCCCAGTGATCCCAATGCACTTAGGATCCATCCCTCCCCAGCCCCACACCTCACCCCCATCCCTGCTCACGGGCCACAGCCACAGTGCAGGAGCTGGTAACACTGCCCAGCACATTGGTGGCCGAGCACTCGTAGAGCCCTGAGTGCTTCTTGCCCGCTCGGGGGATGCTCAGCAGCTGCCGTCCATCTTTGCAGGACACGGTGACCACCGAGGGCTCGGACCGCAGGGACTGCTTGTCTGGCGGGGGGGAGGGGGGCGGGAGGAACAGGAGGGGCTGCTGAGGCAGCACATGGGGTCCCGTACAACCTCACTCCCAGAACAACCCATAAGCCTTGCCCCCGTAGTCTGTCTCCTCCCCAGGTCCTGGGCGCATGTGGTCACCCCTCTGTTTGGAACAGTGATCTTGGGCCCCTAGAGCATCTTCACCTTTCATCCAGGAGATGCGGGGTGCAGGGCAGGCCGCCGGCAGGCAGAGCAGAGTGGCTGCCTCTCCTTCCAGCAGCACCTGGTCCTTGAGTTTGATGTGGAAGACGGGGGGGAAGTCTGGAGGGAGGACAAGGTGGTGTGGGTGTTGGGGACCCTGGCCAGCTCACCACTCATGGTGAGAGGACTGTGAGGGCTGACACTACCCGCAGGGAGTAAACTGAATGACTGTCTCGTCCTTTCAGGATCTGAGGAGTGGAGCCCACACCATGTCTTCGAGCAGTGTCCTTGAGGTGAGCATCAGTTTCCCAAGATTCTCACTGTGGCTGGAATTATCTTTTCCTTCCACTGACTACTGACGCCACTTGGCACCTACCTCTGTGTCTGTAAATTGTTCAAAGCAGGGAGTGCTAAGTACAAGCTCTATAAGCATTTGTTAAGGAAAACAAAAAACAAATAGATATTGAAAAGTTATAATGGTTAAACTCATGCAATACCAACTCCCTTTGGGGTACCATAGGGTAAGAGACAGAGTAGGAGGAGTGAGGGACTGAGCTGAGGTAGTATCCCACATAGACCACAAGGCTCAGGACAGTCAATCTCAGAAGATCCAAAGGCAAGGCAAACCATAGGCTGACCTCAGTGTATCAGCTTCCCCTCCCTTCTTTCTCCTAGGGGCCAAGGAGAGCTTCGGAGGTCTCCTCTACACTTTCGTTGTTGTTGTTAGGTGCCACCGAGTCAGTACTGACCCATAGCAACCTTATGCACAGCAGAACGAAACACTGCCCAATCCTGGGCCAACTTCACTACTGTTGCCACACTTGAGTTCATCGATACTGCCACTTGGCCAATCCATCTCATTGGGGTTTTTCCTCTTTTGCTCTGACCCTCAACATTACTCCAGGTCAACTAAGAACCAAAAGCTTTTCAAGGGCAAAAGATAGGATCTACATGTCTGTGGACAAGTCATTCCCTTCTCAGAAGCTTGATTTCTTAGAAGCAGGGGAAGACACTGGAAGGAGTGCAGAAGTAAATGGCAATGGAGGTAAATACTATCATTTACATAATCCCGCACTAACGTTCATCTGTGAGTAGATGCCTGGACAGACACTAGGCTGAATGTGTGTGGGAGAGAGAGTGAGACCGCACCCACGAATATGTATAGGTCTGGCAGAGGATATTTGTACATGGGTATAGCCTTGGCTGCAAATATATCCATGAAAGTGGTGGAGCATACGAGGATCAAGTTATTCAAATTTCTTAGACATAACTTGAGGGTTTGAGAGAATGACCACGAGGCCTGAGAACTCAGATCCATAGTCTTGGCATAACATATTCCACAAAGACAATGCTCTCTATCCTACTTTGGTGAGTAGCCACTAGAGACTTAAAAGTTCATGAATAGCCATCTAAGGTACAACTATTGGTCTCTCCCCATCTGGAGGAAAGAAAAGTGATAAAAATTAAAGATGCATAAAGTCCAGTGGACTAATGGCCCATGCAAATATCAGTCTTCATGACCGGAGACCAGAAGAACTAGATGGTGCCCGAATACCACTATCAACTGCTCTGAAACGGATCACATGAGAAGATCCTGGACAGAGTGGGGAAAAAAGTGAGGAACAAAACTCAAGAATCATGAAAAAGACCTGGTTTACTAGTCAGATAAGAGTCTGGTGGAAACTCGAGACTAGGGATGGCCTTTATCCACACTTCAGGACTGGTACTGAACTCAACCACCATGGTTCAGTTTTCAGCCAAATGATACCGAGGTCTATAAGGGGAACAAGGAGCTCTGGTAGCGTAGTGCTTACGATTCGGGCTGCCAACCACAAGATCAGCAGTTCGAAACTACCAGCAGTTCTGCGGGAGAAAGATGAGGCATTCTGCTCCCGTAAAGATTTACAGCCTCAGAAACCCTGTGTAGGGTTACTATGAGTCGGAACTGACTCCACGGTACTTAACAACATAAGGGGAACAGGAACACTAGGGAGGTACTCACTCCTTAGAATCATCAACCATTTCAGATCAAAAGGACAGCATTTACCCAAGGGCACAATACAGAAGGGTTAGATAAGAAGAAGGAATGGAAAAGGGGGAAAGTAGGGAGAAAGTGAGATTAAGTAATGTTATGTTACATTGTGTGGATTGTAATCAATGACATAAAACAAAATGTATATGAATTATTGAAGGGAAAACTGATGGGTTCTGTAAAAGTTCACCCAATTCACAATAAAAAGTTGTTTTGTTTTAAAAAAAACTCCATTGCTTGTCTGTAAATTGAAAGTTGTTGCAAGAATTTAAAGAGGCACGTGGAAGTATTTAGCGGGTGACTGCAAATGGTGCTGCTGTTGTGTGCCATTGAGTCCGCTCAGACCCTGCATAGGATTGCCGAGGCCATAAAGCTTTACAGGTACAGCCTCATAGTTCTCCCAGAGTGGCTAGTGGATTCCAACTGCTGACTTTGTGATTAATAAAATGTTGCTGGTAAATGTTAGGCATTATTGGTGAACATGGGCCATGGAGGTGCAAAAGAACAAACCAATCTATCTATGTAGGAAGAAGTACAGACAGAATGCTCCTTAGAAGCCAGGATGGCCAGACTTCATCTCTCATACTTCAGACTTACTATCAGGAGGTACTAGTCCCTGGAGAAGGATATCATGTTTGGTAAAATGGAGAGTTGGAGAAAAAGAGGAAGACCCCCAATGAGATGGATTGGCACAGTGGCAGCAGCGATGGGCTCAAATGTAGCAATGATTGTAAAGTTGGCACAGGACTGGGCAGTGTATCGTTCCATTGTGCATACGGTCGCTATGAGTCGGTACTGACTCAATGGCATCGAACAACAACAGCAAATGGAAGTTCAATGGTAAACGCTTGACTGCCAACTAGGAAGTCTACAGATAAAAACCTACCAGTGGCTCCGCAAGAGAAAATGTAGCATTCTGCTTCTGTACAGATTACACAGCCTAGGAAACCTTGTGGGGGCAGTTCTACTGTCACATGGGGTTGCTGTGTGTGAAAATCAACCCAACAGCACCTAACAACAATGTCCTAAGTTTTCTTGTTATTATCTGGGTAATACGCCCAGTGGAAGGGCCAGGGGCACACTCCTGAGAAGGCTGTTCTAGCAGAGACCCAGGAGGAATGAGGGTGGGGACAATCAGCAGCACCCCTCCCACTGTTCCCCATAGAGAGATTCCCCCATAGACATGTTGACAACATAGCATGAGCAGTGTCACCAATGGTGGCCTCCAGAGCAAGTGGGGGGGGGGGGCGAGAGGAGGAGACAAAGAAGAAGATGAAAGGTGACCCCGGGCCTGCCTACTGCTGCCAGTTTCACCCCCATCCTCCCAAGTGCCAGCCCTGCAGGGAGGCGGGGAGAGGATGAGGTAAGGGGACACGGCCTAGGGAGAAAATCAGCTGCACCAGCAAAACAGAGCCCAGCCAGAAGGAGGCCCCAGGTGGGCAGGATCAGCTGTCCCCAGGCATCCACTCCCCACTCTTCTCACACCCCGCCCCCTCCAGTAGCCTTGCCCACCCTCCCTCCACTTTACTCAACCCAGACCCCACAGGTCTCCAAAGAACTGCTCTAGTTCCTTTGGCCTTGGCCCAACTCAATCCCCTCAGACTTTTACCAGGAACCAGTCATGCTGACTTGGGGGGCCTGTTCTTTTTCCCTTTCCTGCAGGCCTTAAGTATACGCCCTTTTCAAGTGAGGGTCAGGTCAGTGACCCAGGTGGTGAATTATCCCTTTCCCTTGCAGCCCCACAACACTTGGGCAGAGCAGGAGAGCAGGGCATATCCCAAGATCCCGGCTCACAGCTGAGAGTCCTAGGCTGCCTTCTGTGTAGGTGGAGGGAAGGGGCTGCAGGGAGGGACACTTGGGTGCTCAGGCTATAGAAAAACGGAGACTGAGAGACTGCCCAGGTGTGGGCCTGTAGGCCAGGGGAGGAAGAGCATGCCTGTGAGTGTATGCTCTAGCACACAGGTAGTAAGACTCTGAGTGCCAGGGAGCCAGACCCAGAGCTCCTTTAACTATGCAGTGACACAGGTCTCTGGCTCACACAGCACTGGGGTTAACCAAAGAATGGTCTAAAGACCGTGTCCTAAAGCCAATTCGGAGACCTGTCTGCAGAGGGTCACATGGGCTGCTCCTCTTCCTAGCTCTGTGACTTGGACAAGCTACTTGGCTTCTCTAAGCCTCTGTTTCCTCAGCTGTAAAATGGGGAAGCAATGCTGGCAGGTTAAGGAGACTACACTTGAAAAGAGCTTCATAGAACACTTAGCTACTGTTTTCCTGCCACTGCTGCCCAGGCTCCCTTAGGTGGTCCATTCCCCACCCAATCCTGGATCAGAGGCCTCCCACTTCCTTCCTGGAGAATGTGTATATTTGCTGGGGAGGGGACACTCACCCTGCCCAGGCCTCCATTACCTGACTCACTGGGCAGGTACTGTTGACCCAAGTCCTCCTGAACGCTGGCAGAGAGATTGGGTTGGGATTGCCCTTTGTCCTTTCGAAGCTTCAAGAGGCCCCAGCGGAGCCGGCTTCGGCTTTCTCCCGTTGCTGTGAAGACCCAAGCCCAAAAGCACATGCGCAGTCAGTACCAGGAAGCCCTCTGCAGCCCTTGGCCCATAGAAGGTTAACAGCAGAAATAACATCCCTCCCCATCCCACTTTACTCAATCTCAGTTCCTTCCCCTTTAGCCCCCTCCCCCGCCCAATCTTTCCATCCTCAAGCTCCTCCTCTCCCGAAGCTGTTTTCCAACGTACTCAAACTCTTCCCACTCTGCACCTGTCAGCCCAGCCCTTCACCCTCGGGTTCATCCAAACGCTTCTCCTTCTGGCCCCCCTTCCTCACCCGAGGACCCTGATGTGGCGCTGGCCACGGAGCCCAGGGACTCTGCTGACGGCGTGGTGGCGCCGGCCTGGGCGGCCAGCTGGTTGTGCGGGAGACCGAGGCGCCGTAGACTCTCGCCCTCCGACGTGGCCCTACGCAGCCGTCCGAACAGTGGCGTGCTGCGGCCAGACCCGCCGCCCGAGTCCTCGCTGCTGCCACTGCGCTGCATTCGACTCGACAGCCGCTCCAGCGTGGAGCTTAGCCGCCTGCGCACCGCCAGCACCGGGGATCCCCGCGCCGAGCTGCCGCCCTCCGAGCTCTCCCCGTCGCCTCCACGGCTCTCCCAGGCCTGGTGGCGCTGCGAGGGCGGGGTCCGCCGGAGCCGCTGGGACAGCGACAGCGAGAGGCGGCGGACAAAGCCAGGCTCCCCAGCAGCCCTGATGTCCTGCACCGAGCGGGAGCGCTCAGGCCGTCGTACCAGTTCCAGTGGGGTCCCTGCTGGGCTGGGCCGGTACATGCCGTCGTCCTCCTCGGCCCCACGGAAGGGGCCGCGCTCCTCGGAGCGCGAGCGGCTAAGCAGCCGCAACCCCCGCGATAGCGGCGACTCGCGGCTGCGCTTGAACTTGGCTTCGAACACAGCCTCCGACTCCAGGTTCTCGATGCTGCTGCTCAAGCTGCTGCCTGGCCTGGGAGGCACCTTGAGCACTCGGACTTGGACTTTGTGGGCCACCCCGGCTGATGGCACGGGTTTCTCTGGGGTGCCAGGGGTTGGGGAGGCCACCCTGGAGAACACGGCCGCGTGGAGTTTGGGCTCCAGCTGGGGCGGCTGGACTTGACCCGGCACCTGGAGCGACTGTATGATCTGGGCGTAGGGAGTCAGCGGCGGCGCAGGGCTCAGCAGTATCGCCGGGGGTTGCACAGGCTTGGGCACCCGGACTGGTTCCGGCACGGATTCCGGGGCCCTCTCTTGGGTGGACCCGGGTGTCAAAGGTTTCGGGGCATCACTGGGCATGGCCAAAGGGGATTCTGCAGACTTGGGGGCACTGGGTTTCAGGGGGCCTGGCCGCCCGGGGCTGGGCGCCTGGGCCTCGCTGAGGGCGGACAGAGAGGGGGACTCCTGCAGCTTGCGGGCCCCCAGGCGGGCCACGGGGATCTCGAGGGGCGCTCCCGCACGGCGATGCCGGCCTCGGGGCTCCGCCTCCCCCTGAGAAAAGCTGCTGCTCTTCTGCAGGCCCCGGGCCTCCGGCGGGGGCTGGTGACGCGGCGCTGCCTCGCTGGAGGCTGCCCGCGCCATACGGGGTTCCCGGGCGCGGCCTCCCAAGCTCTCTAACAGGGGGCCTCTGAGGCCGCTGACCTTGCTGTCTTCAGGGCTTCCCCGAAGCAGCCGCTGGCGCAGGGCCTGCAGCCTCTGGGCATACTCGCCCTCTCCCAGGCCACCTCGGGCCAGGCGCGTGGCCCCCGGGCTGGGGCTCCGACGCTGTGGCAGTTCCACAGACGCCGCCTTGTGCAGGCCCCGGCCCGGTTCCCTCGGTCCGGCCCGAGGCAGGGCGCTCTCAGCCGAGCTGCCCCTCCGGAGTTCACCCCGCCGGATGATGGGTCCAGCAGGGGGCTCCTGGCCTGAGGAGGGGAGGGCCTGGGGGCTGGGGGGCTCCTGGTCCTCAGAAGAGACCTTTCCCTCTTCCTGCCAGTCCATGGGGGTGGTAGCCCCTGCCTCTGGACTCCCCAGGGTCTCATCTTCAGTGGGAATGTCAGTGAGAGACACCCGGGAACCAGAGAACTCGGGCTGTAGAGGGCGGGGTACCGAGGGCAGCTCCTCCAGCTCTTCCTCTTCAGAGTCCGAGGAGGACGATAGTCCCCCACTGGGTGGTGGGCGTCTGGGAACAGCCACCCACACCCTCTCTGGGGGGGCCCGCAGCAGCTCAGGGATGGGGCGCAGTACCAGGTGGCACTTGTAGCTGATCTGGGAGCGCTGGAGACAGGACACTGGAGTCAGACCTGAGGCGGGATTGACCCACCCAAGTCCACCCCAGCTCAGACCTAGCCCCCCCAGGGAGAAGGCTTAAGGGGACGGCTGAGAATTGAGAAAATAAAAAAAATGGGGAGATAGGTGAGCAGAAGATGGGAGTTCGAGAGAGACCTAGAGAATAAGAAGATAAAGGGGCAGAGGCAAGAAGGCCTGAGCCAACTCACCTGCCACCTGCGACGGGATAGGAAGAGCTTCAGGTGATCAGTGCTCACCTCTGCGCCCTTGGCCTGTGCCTGCAAACCCAGAAAGAGGATGTGATCAGGAGTCCTCGTCACCCTAGCCCCTGAAGGTCTGACAATGGAGAGACAGTGTCCATGGGTAGGCAGTGGGCAGAGCAGCAGCCAGCCCCTTCCCCTTGGTCACTGATAAGGTACCCACTGGTGGACAAATTCTCTGATCCTGAGGGCAGAGGCTGCTAGGGATCAGCTCCTGGTCCCCACAGGGAACTTGTACCGGGGTTCCAGGCCCTGTTTCCCCTGGAGGTCGGAGCCCCTATCCCAGTCTATCTCCTAGGGCTAGAGTCTTAGCCACTGGGAGCCAGACGAGAACAGATGCTCCCTCAGCTATCACCCAGGCTGAAAGGAAGCTTTTACTCCAAGGACTGATGCCAGAATGCCTCTGCCCTTCAGTTGATGGTGTCCGAACTCATTCCAGTTCTTCTCTCTGGATTAATTTATAGAGTTCTCAGTGTCCTGCTTCTGGGGCCCACGGTGCTGGGATTTGCTGATGAGGAATGAGAAGACTGACTAGCAGGAGACACAGTCAACCTAACAAGCATAGTCCCTGATCAGTGCAGTATGGAGGTGGGCTCAGGAGGACCAGGGCTGATCTTGAGAGCCAGGGAGAACCTAATGAGGGCCCCCAGGATGAGGCCTGGGGTAGGATCCCAGCCTATATTATGATACCCCAACTCAGTCACTGATTTGAACTTCAGTTTCTTTATTAACAAAATGGGAATACTAGCCTCCTCTGCAGAGCTATAATGCAGTTAGTAGATGGCATGTGTGTAAATGCCTGACGTGGTCACTGCATATTGTGGGTATTCAATCAACGGAGCTGTAAACAATGTTCTGTCTCCCTTCATTCCTTATGCCACCTACTTTATGGGATGGACTCACTTTGAACCAGGGATGGTCTAGTGTCTCCTCTGCAGTAGGTCTCCTGTAAAGGAATGAGGATTAAGAAGGGGTCAGAAGGGCTTACTCTGCATTCAACTCATTCATGCAGTCATTCAATACATGTGTGAGAAATTACAGCCCCTAAGGAGTTGGGAGGTTGAGGGTCTAAGGGGGTCTAGGGAGGGGCTGCTGCAGTGGGGTCTCCTCAGGGAAGCCTGCTACTCACAGCCGGTCCTGTACCAGCACTTTGATGAGGAAGCCCCGGGCCTCCCTGCTCAGGCTTAGGAATGTTGTCTCCTCAAAGGCCACATTGTAGTTTCGGATGTTCATCAAGGTCGTCCGATCATTTTCCCCAACAAATGGGGAGATTCCCGTAAGACTGCAGGGGTGGAGGGGGAGGAGGGGAGAGCTGGGTAAGGCCTTGGGCTGAGGCAGATATAAAGTGGGGTGACAGCATGGAGACATAGAGTTGGGGACAGGTGGAGGGCTCGGGGAATCTGGGCAGAGGAGAGGCTAAGCAAGCAGCCTGTTCTCCTCCCACTCCCCTTTCCTGATGGACTAAGTAGTACTACCCTTAGCCCAGAGCAATCATGAGACAGGAGTCTGGGGGCCAAGGGGATGTGCCCACTCTGAACCTGAGGCTCCCTCCCCTTCTAGATTGTGTTCTGCACACTCAGGGCCTCATGGTGTCCTGTTTAGATGAGCCAGCATAGGCCAGCGCACCCAGGTGAGGCCTGTACACCGAGGAGGCAGCAGAGGTAGGAGTGGAAGAGGCTGCAAACCCCAGGCCCTGTAAATGTAAGGGGTAGAGGCTTTTGGGGGGAGTCTGCTATGGGACCAGGGCCCTGAGTATAAGGGTCCTTACCAGAGGAAAGCCACAACGCCCACAGGCCTGCGGGAAAGAAAAGGACGGGTAAGAGAAGAGCCTACCTCCTACTGGAAGTGAGCTGCTCTCTGTACTGCTAGCTTTAGGGAGATGTGGCCTCCCAGTGAGCACCGAGTGAACACAAAGCCCTCCTGCAGCCAGGACCCTGGACCCAGAAGTCCAGACATGCCTGGAGGGTCCCCGGGTCACAACTATCTGGGGCCACTGGGGCCTTTCTCATAGGGCGAGGGGTGGGGGGAGACCACCACCCTCCCCACACCCCCTGCAGGCCCAGCACCCAGTGGAGCCAAAGGGCCTGACAGGGTGAAGGCAATGACCCAGGGTGGCTGTCTGAGGAGCAGGAACCCAGGCCTAGTCAAGCTCTTCTCTGGCAGCAAGCAAGCCCCCAGCAGCCCCAGCAAATAGCATGCCAGTGTTACCAGATGTCGGTGACTCCGGACACAGGGGTCTGGTTGACAATCTCGGGTGCTACAAACTCAGGTGTGCCATACTGGCTGTATTGGGGCTCTCCTGGAGTCAACTCTTGGGCATTCCCGAAATCACAGATGCGCACCTGCTCTTCACCCTCAGCACCGTCCCACACCAACAGGTTCTCGGGCTGCAAGGCACAGGCAAGGATGGGAGCTAGCTGCCGAAGGAGGGTGCATAGCAGCCTGACTTTCACAAGCGGCTGCCCTTTGCCCAGTCCCACCTTGACATCCAGATGCAGCACGTGGCTCTGGTGTAGGTAACAGATTCCTTCGAGCACCTGCCGCATGTAGGTCCGGATCTGTGGAAATGGGGACCAGAGTCCATAAGGGTAGTGCAGTGATACAAGGGGGTTTCAAAAAGTTCATGGAAAACTGAATGAAAAGACAATGGAATATTTCCACGAACTTTCTGAAATCCTTTAATAGGTGTGACCAACAGAGCTGTTGGCATGACAAGATACCATGCCATGCCTGGTGGCAAGGACTGAAACATAGGCACTGGGTTGAGACCCAGGGCTACAGGTTATCACAGCACAAGTCTGGGGCAGTCCCACTTACAGCGTTAAGGAATACAATTGTGCAGTAGACAACCTATGCAACCCCACATGACCTGACTACAGTGTGACCGAATGGACATGAATAGGTGGAGGCACCTTCTGGAAGAAATGTTTGGGGAATATTTATTTGAATAAAACTAGAAAACAGCAGAGTTGAGGCTGGACTGAGTTGGTTGAGGTTTACAAAAGACAGTGCAAGCCCCAGGTAGATGGGGTTCTGGTCTAATTGGGAAGGGGGCCTCTCCATCCCCACCCTTCTGGGCACAGATGGCAATGCCAGAATCCCCCACTCTCGGTGGTGCTCAGAGATCAGGTGGGTGAAGGCTGGGGTCCAGCCTGGTCCCCGAACCCTAAGGCCCTCACCTCAGACTCACACACGATGGGTTTCCTGGCCATGCGCTCCAGTAGCTCCTCTGTGCAGCTATGTCAGGATCAAGGAGAACAGTGACCTGCCATGGGACAGTGGTCCCCAACTCCTGTGCTGAGCGTTCTGACTTCCCATCTGATACCAGCTAGACTTCCTCCCCCTCCCTCCTGTCATCTGGACAGAGAGATGGCAGAGCTGGACTCAGACACACTGTGGGACACACTTTAAACAAGAGTGGTTAAAGGTAAACCACTTAACCTCTCTGAGCCTCGGTTCCCTCAGGTGCAAAATGGAAACTGTACCTCCTCTCTTGGCAGCCTTATAAAGTCTTTATAGGGGTCACATTAGAGCAGGCTTATGTTGACTGTGGATGCAACTTGTTGACTCTATTTGAGAATGGCTCAGAAGCTGAATGACACATAATCAGAATATTGAGGGGTGGGTCAGAGCAGTGCGGACTGGGAGGCTGCTGTGCAGGAAACCGTCACCCTGCTATTGACGGGGACAAGCTTGCCATCATGTTTTTTTTTTTTTTTTTTATCATATCTCTTATGAAAGAATAAAAGCTGTTTGTTTTTCTTTTTTTATGAAAAGTGCCGCCCAAATAAAGTCAAATATTGATACTCATTGGGTTGTTTCATGTTGAGACACACTGCACTGCATTTTGTGGTGGAAAAACAGTGTAACTGTTTAATACTGTAGCTGCGTAACCTCAGGCAACTTACTTAGCCTCTCTGTACCTCAGTTTCATCATCTATAAAATGGGGATAAGAATATTCATGAAGTGTGTAGATATGGGAGTCCCTGAGTGAAGCTAAGTGCTCTACTGCTAACTCAAAGTTTCGTTAGAACCGAACCACAGGCTCCTTGAAAGAAAGGCCTGGTGATCTGCTTCTGAAAGGTCAGGGGCTTGAGAACCCCATGGAGCAAAGTTCTACTCTGTATACACAGGGTCACCCTGAGTCAGAATCAACCAGATGGCAACAGGCCTGGGGTTTTAGGGAGATGACCAAAAGAGTAAAACTCTCAGAATGTTACCAGAAACATAGGCAGTGCTAAACAAGTTCAAGCTAAAACAGAAAAACAAAAGTTAGAAGATGCTGGTCTTTGCAATTGTAACTAGGACAACTTTGTAAACTTTAAAGCATGTGGCCAACAGGGCACGTTTCCCCCTCTGCTCCAGTCCTTCTCCATTGCAGGATACAGCTCGGTGACAATGACCAGTCCTCGGCGCCTCTCAAAGGCTTCATGAAAGTAGATGACACAGTCATGCTGCAGTCGAGCCAGAAGCCCGGCCTCTCGCCTTGCTGACACCTTTGGTTTGGCCTGGCTGGGGATGAACTTGGCCGCAAACTCCAGGCCAGAGCTCCGCTCCACCACGCGGCGCAGGTAGGAGAAGGCACCCCTGGGTGGCACAAGGAGGGGGACAGGGACAGGGCTCAGCTGTCAGTACAGGTGGCCTCTTCATCCCCTTGTATCCCTCAGCCCCAGGCCCCAGACACCACATCCATCCCCCATCCATCCCCACCTGCCGATCTCCTGGTGAATATCATAGAAGTCACTGAGTCTCCTTCCTCGCTGCTCTTCATCTTCCTCAGCCCCCTCCACTTCCATTGCTGTTGGAACTGGGGAGAGATGGCCTGGTGTTAGGTGGGGACAGACTGGGGAGATGGAAGAAGAAAAGGACTGGAGGTGTGATGAGGAGGAGGAGATGCAGTGGCCACGAAGTAAGGGGCTGGATGGATGGAGCTCCATCAAATTCCTGGGGAGGGGGTGCATCTTCCTTTCTCCCCTGGAGACCAGCTCACCTGGACACACAGCTAACTCGGCCTTGCAGGAGACCTCACCAGCCAGGTTGCGGGCAGTGCAGGTGTAGACACCCCCGTCCTGGGCCCCAGCACAGAGGACCACCAGAGAGCACTCGTTCTCCTCATACACGAAGCTCACGTGGCTGCTTTCTGCCAGCAGCACTTCGTCCTGAGGAGTTGGGTGTTACCTTCAGCCGCACCCTGGCTTTCCCTCCACTCTGGATACCCAGCCTCATCTGTCCTTGGGGCCGAAAACCTCCCTACCCCAAGCCCACCCTCGTCTCCACCTAGGGTCCAGATCAGCTCCTCTCTATTCCTCATTAATAGCCCCGAAGCCTCCAATCAGTGGCCTGCCTCTACGTCCTCCTCATAACCACTGTACGTCAACACCTTTCTGCTCTCTGCCCAGGTTCCCTGAGGGTCTCCCAGAGACATCTTTACCCCAAGGGATCTTCATTCCCTGCCCTCAACATCCCAGTCAGCCAGTCACCAGCTCCTAACCTTGTACCACATGACATCCGGCAGGGGTTTCCCCTCAACCACCACAGCCAAGCGAGCAGTCTCCCCAGCTCCCACCTCCACGTCCTCCATGATGGACTCAAATCTTGGGGCCTCTGAAACACACAGGGACAGACAGGGTGGATGAAAGGAGGTGTTACAAAGGCCTGCCGCCTCAAGCTCTCTCTAAACTCACTCAGCAACTGGCTTTGTCTGAACCCTACCTCCTCACACCCCACCACTGGGGCTTTCCAACTTATGCTCTGCTACACAGAGTCCTTGCTTGGACCAGGCGTTCATCCTACAAATCCAAACGTGATGTTCTCCAAATCTCAGAAAACCTCAGGCAGAGGGCTCAGGCTTGCTTTGCTCAGTATGACCCCTAGTGCTCATTTGTCAGCTTTAAAATTAGGGAGATTTTCATGCATGAAAGAAATCTAGATTTACTGCTTCTCCTCAAGTCAGTACAGCCCTCCTGTGTCTGCTTACCTCACTGCATCAGTCAGGGCTCAGACTGGCTTAATGCTGCCCCCTGGGGGTGGTCCCCTCCCACACAGGCTTAGTTGGGCCTATCCTTGCCCCCTGAGGTGGCTCTGTCTGTGTCCTCAGCATGGGCTGTCTCTGTCTTATGGTTTTCCTCTTTGAATCTTACTTAAATGTTTAAGGGACCTTCTACCATCTGGGAGGCGGCAAGATGAACAAACAGGTAAACCTCAAGTATTAACCAAAATCCTAGATGCCGATGCTCAGTTGCATTTCTCCCAGCCATCTATGATTTTATTCTTCAAACATAGCACATGGTCATATTGTTTCCTGGTAAAGCAGCTTCTAATTCTCATGATGGGCCTGAATACAAACACACATGAACTTTGCAGAGGAGGTCATGATTTCCTTCCAGGTACTCCAAAATAGGGGGGATGACTGGAGTGGGGAGCAGAGGGCCCTGGGTATGCTCACCACAAGCACAAAGCACCTTGCTTTTATATGGGAAGGGGAGCATCATGGGATGGGAGAGATGCCACAGTGGGTGGAGTTGGGGGCTGAGTGGAGCCCCATCAGATTCCTGGGGAACACTGGAGGAAAGGGGCCATTCTACTGGTCCTGTCTTGGTGGTGGGGCAGAGGGCAAGGGGGTATAGGTACCAGCCCCAGATCTATCTTAGCACTGCTCAGTGGAAAGAGAGAGTCTCAGTCCCTTTCTCAGCTGGGCCAACCACAAGGCTCTAGGTGACTACACCAGTACTCGCTAGATGATCAAGGCTACCCAAATTCAATGATGAGTCCTGCAGGTTGTGTTGTCAAGGGGGTAGAGAGGTAACAGCTGGGCAGGACACATCAGAGGTGTCTGTAATACAGAAGCAAGGGGAAGACACAGAACAGGGAGCCCAGGCCTCCACCCCATTCCACTGTCTCCACAGCAGGGCCAGTGGTGACTCCACTCATCTCCTCACATCCCCTACTGCTGTTTCTCTTCCAAGTTCAAGAGGCCTCTCCTCCCCTCTAGGAAGGGGTACTGTCTCTATGGACTCTGGCCCCCAGTCTGCTTGGTGGGTGTCTACGAAGATCAGAGCAAAGGAAGCTTCTAGTGCATACCAGCAGTTAAAAAACAAAACAGAAACCACCAGAAGATATATATTTATCCATGATAAGATTGCATGCACTAACTTAAATGTCACCTTCTTTGCATTTGGTTGGAATTATATCAACTCAGCAGGTAACACTGTTTAGCTCATGCTGATCGGAAGTTCTGATTGACAGTTACATATGTCTAGAGTTAATTAACATAACGGAAAACAAGACAATTACTCTTGAATCCATGCCGTAGTTTAGGAGACTACATGTATAAAATAATGGAGAAGTTATGAAAAGGTCAGGAGGTTCCGTCAAGCAGCCTTCTGCAAAAGGGCAGTCAGGATCCTCTGAGCTGGGTTTTGATCTGTTTATTTGTGGAATCAGCTTGGTCTCCTTCTGCTTTGTGTATTTGAGAGATTTCCTGCTGGGTTTAACACAGGAGCTAAGAGAACTCACTGGCTTTGGAGTCAGGCATCTGAACTTGAATCCCAGCTCCTGTACTTATGAACTTGTATGACCTTGGGCCAGTAACTTAGTGCTCAGTTCTCTCATCTGTAAAATAGGAATAAAAACTGGCTCCTCCTCACAGAGTTGATGTCAATATTAAATGACATGCTGGAGCCCTGGTGTGGTTCTGTGGGATCGGCACTGAACTGCTAACCCAAAGGTCGGTGGTTCAAACTCTACACAGGGTCACTGTGAATTGGAACTGACTCAATGGTACTTAACATCAACAATACAGTATCATCACTAGCATTAGTGTGATTAAAACCACTAGACAAACATGTCTGGAAGGGAGGACATAGGTCTGGGAGGTGTGTACTGGAGGTGTGAGGAGAGGGTTGGGGCCCTCAGAGGAAGGGGAAAGAAGGCCCACCTCACCCACCTGCCAGCTCCAGGTTGACGGAGCAGGCCTGCGTGCCATGGCGGTTGCGGGCCGTGCAGGTAAGGGGCCCTATGTCCCGGCGGCTCACCCGGCAGATCCGAAGACAGTACTGATCATCATCCGGCTGGCTCAGCTCGTACACACCTGCCCGTGCCTCCAGGAGGGCCCCACGGTGGCTGACAGACAGGTAAGAGGGAGATCACCCAGGATCCAGCTAGCTGAGGCTGGGTTGTCACTGCAGGCAGCAGCGCACACATTGCGGGGCTCACCTCCTCCAGACGACCTGGGCCTCCACATGGCTGAAGGTGACGGTGACGCTGATGGGCTGCCCCTCCACCACATAGACAACATCCGGCTTGTCCAGCACTGCAGGGGCCTCTTCCAGGGTTGGGCCTGCGAGGAGGAGAGCTCAGGCTCTTGTTGGACTGGATGCAGGTCCCTAGCTCCCAACCACTGACACTGAGGCTCAGAGAGGTTTAGAAATGTGTCTAGGGCACACAGCCAGGAAGCAGCAGAGCTGGGACTAGAACCCAGAGCCTCAGCTTTGCCAAGTGAGACAATCTGCTTTTCAAGAGTGACAAGGAAACCCACTGGTAGGTCGGGATCCCACCCAGCTGCCTTCGTCTAGTCACAGCCTGGGCCAACTCCCTGCCCACAGGATGGCCCAGGCTCACCACGCTCCAAAAGCTGCGCAGGCTCAGAAGGGGGTGAAGGTTTGCCGCTGCTCTTGCCGCTGCTGCTGAGGACTCGGAAGATGTGCTGGGTCCCTTTACGCAGTCCCGTGGCTGCCCACCCAGGCTCCCGCAGCCCCGTGGCCAGCACTGTCCATTGGTCCGAGCCCAGTATCTGGTGCTGCACCGTGTATGTCAGGGAGTCGGGGTCTGCTAGGGAGAGGAGGCTGCTAGAGGCCGACATAGATGGGGTGGCACCCCAATTCCCAATTCTGCTGGCCTGGATTCCTGGACCTCTTCCATCTATTAGGGACCTGCCTCAGTTTTTCCTGTTGCTCCTTGCCTGCTCTTCCTCAACCACAAGCCTGGCCAGGCTTGGGATACAAGACACCAGGAATGGGGGTCAGTTATAGGCATGGCAAATAGCTCCCTTGGGTAGAGAAATTGAGGCACAGAACAGGAAGAGCAAAGGCATCCCCAGGACCTGACCAGGCACCCAGTCCCTTAGAGCACCTACCGTGGAGAGAAGATGGGTCAAAGTGACCTCTGGTCATGCTTTCAGCACTCCATTCACTTAGCCCCAGCCCACACCTTCCCGGGTCTTGTCCTGCCCCCCTGCCACTGCCTGAGCCTGCCTCATTCCCAGCCCCATCCCTACCCCACAGCTTTAGTGGTCCTGACCCACCGATAGCCATGTCCAAACTCCTGGGGGGGTTCCATGTGAGCGTGATCATCCTCCCAGTCACAGCCACCACCTGTGGGGCCCCATCTGGAGGACCTGGAACCACATCTGAAAGCCGCAGGTTGAAAATTCACTGGGTTCTTTAGAACCCAGAGGTCACGCAGGATTGCCATCCCCAGGGACCCAGCCACAGGGTAAGGCCAGCTGGCTCCCCAGGGGACCGCTGCTTACTTTTTCTTCAGAGGGGAGTGGAGATGAAGTGCAGGCTCTGCCCACACTCAGCTCTGGGGGCCTTTCCCACCCTTGGCGGGGTCTGTGGACACAGCTGACCAGCTATCATCTTACCTGTGACATAGAGGTGGGCGTAGCAGGCAGCTTTGCCCAGCTTGTTGGCGATGACGCTTTTGTAGACACCGGCATGCTGAGGCCCCACGGCAGGGAACACCAAGCGATGTACATCCCTGTCTGGTGGGGCAGGGACAGTGACACTGAGCCTGAGCTAGAGGGGGGTATTTGGAGGGGTGGGCCACCCCAGGCCTGGCCCCTTTCCCCCATCCAGGGCAGGGGTAAGGTAAGGGGAAAAGGGTGGGGTGGGCAGTGACAAGCGTCTGTCCACAGTGCAGCGAACCCTAGGAGTAGGCATTCTGCAGCCCCTCTGGTGGCACCATCTGCTTGTCCCTCCAGCTCTTCATGTCCAGCAACTTACCATCTTCCTTCACCACTGGCCCACCCTCTGTAGGTTCCTACCCTTGTCCACTGTCCTCTCATCTCCCCCCATCTCTGGGGTCACAGCCTCCATGTCAAAGCAAAGCTCTGATGAGGCTTTATTCCTCAGGCCACCTCCCTAAGTCCTCCCTGCCCCATGCCTACTGCCCCACCCATCCTGTCTTCAACCAGAGCCCTAGGACGGTCCCGCCCTGCCAGTGTGGTCTATACTCTGTCAAAGCTAGATCTCGATGAACAAATCTGTCTCAGACGAAACACCCAGAAGACGCCTTAAGACATGAGGATGGCGAGACTTGTGCTCGCTTACTCTGAACATGTCGTCAGGAGAGAAGCTTTGTAGAACAGGGCCTGAGGCTTGGAAAAGTTGAGGGTCAACACAAATTGGGAGATCCTCACTGAGATGGACTGACACAGGAGCTAAAGCAGCGGACTCACATCTCCCCAGGATCATGACGACAACACAGGACCAGACAAGAGTTCATTCTAAACACCTAAGAGTCACCATGAGTCAGCGCTGACTCAGTGGCAACCAAGGACAACAGAGCAGGCAAGGGGACATCGAAGCTCTTACCTCAAACTTCCTTCTCGCCACATCTCCTGCTACCTGCTCTACGCCCCCCTCCACGCCCCCAATTTTTGGACTCTGACACTACCTCAGCTCTTTGACAAGCTAGGTGAGTTTCACCTCCAGGTCTTTGCTCACAAAATTCCTCCCTTTTGGAACATTCTCTTCTTACTTAAGGTCTCCTTCACCTATGCGCTATTGCTGTTAAGTGCTGCTGAGTAGAATCCGACCTGTAGTGACCCTGTATAGGCTTTCCAAGGAGCAGCTGGTGGGTTTGAACCACCAACCTTGCAGTTCAAATGACTCTGTAGTCTGATGCATTAGCCCACAGCACCACACCAGGATTCCTCCTTCGCCTGTAAGACTTAATTAAAATAAGTGCCTACCCTGGGGTAGGAGCTCTGGTAGCGTAGTGGTTACGAGTCGGGCTGTGAACTGCAAGGTCAGCAGTTCGAAACTACAAGCTGTTCTGCAGGACAAAGATGAGGCATTCTGCTCCTGTAAAGATTTACAGCCTCGGAAACCCTGTACAGGGTCACTATGAGTCAGAACCGACTCCACGGCACACAGCCAGCCAGCTCCCCTGGCATGTCCCCAGCCTCTTCTTCACTCCTTCCCTGGGACCTCCAGTCTGAGTTGCCTGTGCCTTCGCCAGGCCCAGGCTGCTTGGGTGGACCCTTTGTCTAACTGTACATGTCACAGCTTCTGAGATGACCTGTAAGCTCCTTAAAGACAGGGCTGGCTTTGTTATAACTGGCTTGCCACACCAGGCCCAGCAACCAGATGCCTTGCATGAACTAAGTACTAAATACATGTTACAAATTTTATTTGTTTGTTCTTTGTTGTTGTTACTAAGTGTTGTCAAGTTGGTTCTGATTGATAGCAGACCTGTATAAGGTTTCCAAGGAGCGGCTGGTAGGTTTGAATGGCTAAGCTTTAAGTTCAAACTGACCTTGCAGTCCAGCGCATTGTCCTGCAGCGCCATCAGCCCTTAACTTCTTGCTATCTTCCTGGCTTATGCCAGATAATTGAAATGCATTTCTTTTACACACACACATCCTGACCCCCAGTCCTTACAAAAGGAGCCCTGGTGGTTCTGTGGGTTAGGTGTTGGGCTGTTAACCACGAAGTCAGTGGTTCAAACATACCAGACACTCTACCAGAGAACAATGAGGTTATCTGCTTCTGTAAAGATTTTGTCTTGGAGACCTTACTAAAGAACAGTCTCTACTCTGTCCTATAGGTTCGCTACTGAGTCAGAATTGACTCACTGGCAGTGGGTTAATCCTTATAATCACCCTGCAAAATGATCCCCATTTACCAACGAGGCCAGAGACGTTAACTGACTTGTCCAAGGTCACAGAGCTGATAAATAACGTTACTATGGTTTCTACACGGTTCCATCTGATCCAAAGCTCTCCCTTGCATAGTGCATCCTGAGCGATGACAACACACAGTCTCTGGCAGGGACATGATGAAGGGAAAGGGGCTGGCACTGTCCTCTTCCTTGTCAAGAGTTGTCCCCCGGTTCCCCTCCTTTCACAGTGATCTCTACACAGTACAGCTACCCCTTCATTTATCTCAGCTGACACTATTTAAAGGAAAAGAGGCCACATGCTGCCACTGACCCCAGATACTGTGAAAAGCAGAGACGCACCAGCTCCGACCCCCACCAGAGGCCTCAGAGCAGATGAGGAGACAGGGAGGCTTGAGGTGGAGGGGAAAGGTCAGGCTGTGGGGGTGGCATTGGAGGTGGGATGTGGAGAATGGGGTATGGAGACAGAGGAAGTCCTGGGAAACTCATGGCCGCCAGTCAGCCAGTTCTGCTTGCCTTTGGGCAAGACTGTGTACACCTTTAAGCCTCAGTTTCTTCATCGTACAGGTCTATGCAGAGTAGGCTGAGCAGCTCTTATAGCTCTCAGGGTGTGCCACTTGGAAAGCCTGCAGCAAAGGTGAGGCTTTGCCATGCTGCAACTGCATGAGGCCAAGCAGTGGGTACAAGGGTCACCAGGTGGGCACTGTCGTATGGTGGGGGGGGGAGATAGGTAAACCCTTTCCCTCAAGACTCCATTTCCTTCAGGAATGGATCTGAGATGCTCCCATAGAGAAACACCCCAGGCTGAGAGGACACATCCCCAACATATTCTCTTCTTCTAGATTTGTTATTTATCAACCCTGGGCATAGAATAAACAGTAGACTGTGAACCACAAGGTTGGCGGTTCAAGCTCACCAGCCACTCCACAGGAGAAGCATGAGGCCTTCTGCTCCTGCAAAGATTTCAAGTCTTGGAAACCCTGTACAGGGTCACTGTGAGTTGCAACTGACTCGGCGGCACTAACAGCAACAATCCTGGGCAAAATCTTCTTGGATATAGGATACAGTGCTGACAGATGAACCCCGGGCTAGAAGGTGCTCAAAATACTTGGTGGCTACAATCATGAACTGGAACAGACTAATGGCCATGAAGATGCTACCGGCAGGGCAGGATGTCTATCTGTTACACATCAGGTCACCCTGAGTCAGAGCTGACTTGACGGCACCTAACAAGAACAACTCTAGACCAATCACACTTCCACACTGGCCTGTCCAAAGATGGAGCACTATTTTATCAGCAGTGAGGATAATAGTAGCAACAACATCAACAACGATACCAGTAATAAATAACGAGCTCTTGTATTAACTGATCTGATTGTCGTAACAACCCTACTGTAGTAGATGGGAAAATGGAGGCCCAGAGAGCTTCTGGAACTTGCTCATAGTCCTGCTGTGGGTCCGCCGCAAGCTGTACTGCCTGTCTATCGTATGAAGGGGGCCACGCAGGCCCAGGCTGTAACTGGCCTCCGCAGACTGGAGCTATGGCAGCTTGAGGAAGGAAGTGGTGACCTCAACTCCTGGGGGGTCCCTGACTCCAAGTGCCCCACCCCTGACCTGTGAGAGGAGACGGCCCTCACGGCACGTACACTGCATCATGCGCCGGTCCTCACTGCTCTGGATGCGGTGACCATTGTGGAACCAGCTGATGGTGGGGTAGGGCAGGCCAGTCACCTGGCACTCTAGGAGGGCCTCCTTGGCCAATCCCACCTCCAGGTCCTGCAGTGGCCGCAGGAAATCAGGCATGGACAGCCGCTCCAACTCGCCCTGCTCTGGCTCCTCAGGGATGGAGGGCATCTTCTCCAGCTTCGAGCTGCAAGAGCCACATGCTTAGAGGCGGGGTCTGCAGCTCCCGCCCCAGGTCGGGCCCTTCAGAGTCAGTCCCAGCAGTACCTGGGGCCTGAGGCGGCTGTCCGCGGCTCCTCCACATAGAGCTGGGCTGAACAGTGGGCCTGGCCGTGGGTGTTGGTAGCGCTGACCTCATAGAGTCCCTCATCTTCACTGCCCACGTGGGTGATGTGCAGACAGTGCAGACCCCCGTCCTGCCGTAGCCGAAGGTTCTCACTCTCCTCCACGGGCCGGCCTGGGTATCAGGGAGATTGGGATAAGAAGCAGGACAGCCAAGAGGCCCTCGGGTCCCCCAACATCTGTGGGGTACCATACCAAAGTGAGTCCAGGAGACAGAGGGAGGCGGGGTGCCACTGATCTTGCAGTCAAAGTGGGCTGCGCGGCCCTCTAGCACTTCCACGTCCTCTAGTAGCCGCGTGAACAGGGGTGCCAGCGAGGGCCGAACTGTCAGCCGGGCACTGCACGTCAGTTCATCTGGGGTGGAGGAAGGGGTTGGTGCTTGAGTGGGGAAGGCCAAGGGGACCCAGGTACCCCAACCCACAGACCTGTCTGTCCTAAGGTTGGACAGGGGAGGAAGGTGGGCCGGGAGCTGAGCCTGGTCAACATGGTAGTGGGCAGGGACTAGGTCTTTGCGGCCAGGTGCAAGCTGCCACAGCAGGCAGGGAGATGGATAGAGCCCTGGGCCTGGCCCCTGCTCCTCCCTCTTCACCTCCCCTTGTCCACCCAGGATGAAGTCCAGCCCAGGTCTGAGAGAGGCTTCCAGAAGCCAGATCCATTGGTCCCCCACACCTCTTTCCTGTCATCCTGCACTCCAGAGGGCTCTGCTCACAGCACAAGTGCCTTTGCTCAACTCCACGACCCTGCTAAAAATCTCCTGTGCTCATCCCACAACCTGGGAGACAGGTGTTGTTATCTCTGTTCTTAACGAGGACAACCAGGAGGTCAGTGATGCTATTAATAATGATAATGGCTGACTTGGATTAGGTAGCACCCTTTGCCAGGTGCTGTGCTGTGTTCTTTACATACTCATTACAGCTGCCGGTTACCCTATAAGGTAAGGATAATGATCCCAGTGAGATAAATAGGTTACAGCTCAGAGAAACAGAACGACTTCTCCCAAGCCACATGGCTTGTAGATGACAGGGCAAGACCTTGATCTCAGGTCCAGTTTTGTTTCCTCCACCTCTTCAGATGTGCCCCTGAGAGTAAGGATAGCTTCCGCCGAGACAGAACTTATTTTGTACCACATATGACTCAAGGTACTTTCCCTGTTTGTTAGTTGGCACTGAGGGGATTCCAAGTCATGGTGACCTCATGGGTGCAGGTCAGAACTGGTTCATAGAGTTTTCAAAGCTGTGACCTTTCCGAAGTCGATTGTCAGACTTTGTTTCCAAAGGTGCCTCTGGGTGGGTCTTAACCACCAAACTTTTGGCTAGTAGTTGAGCGCTTAAGTATTGTGCCACTCAGGACTCCATGATTTCCATGTACTAACTGATCTTATCCTCACATACCCCACAAGATGGCTGGACTGCACCATCTCCCCACAACTGCATTTGCCTTAGAAGATGGGGTCCTGATGCTGTTCTGCACCCAGCTCCTCTCTCTTTGGCAGCTTGAGCGGGTGGTTACCTTTGGCTGTACTGAGTTTGCAGGTGTAGACCCCGCTGTCGTCCTCGTGCACGGAGGTGAGCAGTAGCTTGCATTTCCGACCATCGAAATGCATCTTGCATTTGAGCAGTGCAGGCTGCAGCAGGCGGCCTCGGCACAGCCAGTCCACCTCCACGTCTGCAGGGCCCGCCACCAGGCACTCAAACAGTGCCATCTCCCCGGCCCCCACGTCCACATCCTGCAGGGGAGCCAGCACGGCCAGGGACCGGCTTTCAGGGTGTGCTGGGGGGAGAAGGGCCATGGGAGGCACGCACAGAGCAGAGACACACAGGGTAAGGGAGATACACACACGCACACACAGGGAGACAGACAGAGAGAGAGATGCATTTTGTTCCCCTGGAGACAGGGAGAGCCTGCCCAGAGGGCCAGGACAGAAAGGGGCTCCCAGGCCTGGCTTCACTGGCCTGGGGAGGGGAGTAAACTCTTGGGAGGTGAGGGCGAATCAAGGGAGCAAGAACCCTAGGGGACCACAAGGTGGCAGAAATGGCAGGCGGCGGCAGCAGCAGGCGGCGGCGGGGGTGGGGTGAGGGGCAAATACACAGTACACCAGCTGGATACGAACTGGACTTTATTTGAGCTAAGAAATAGGGGTTTCCAAATATCCCCATAACCACTCCAGCAGTTCTTCCACTCCCCACGTGCCAAGTCTGGCTGCGTTCTCATCTCCAGACAGACGCCCCCCCTCCCCAGCCCTGACAGTGAAGAGGGAGCCAGGAGGATGATGGGCCAGGGCTGGGCCAAGCCTCCTAGCAACCCAGGGCTCCAGGGCCTCTGGCTTTTGGTCTCTTACAGACTAGAAAGTGTTCTGTGCCTGGAAAGCCATTTCTGGAATGGTCAGTGCCCTGCCCCTCTCCCTGTGAGCCTCTCCCCACTGGGTCCCTCCAGGCCCTGTATCTGTACCCCACATCTTTGTGGGCTGCCTCTGAGACATCCTTTCCTAACTGCCACAGACGCACAGACAGACAAATGGATAGACAGACAGTGGCCTACAGCAGCGGTAGCACATGCGCTCGCTAGATGCTACCCTGGGGGGGAGGGGCTTAGGGGGCTCTTGATACCCCTCGTGGCTGCCCCTTCCCAGCACTCAGTCCATCTGGGGGCTTCCTGGCCTGCCCAGCCATCTGTCCACTTGGGGAGGGTGGGTCCATGGGGGCCCATGGGCTATCCCAGGAGCTTTGTGGAGTTGGGGCTGGGGGTGGCTGGACTGGGGTCCGGGCCGGCGGGCCGGCTGGGTCTGTGGGCAGGAGGCAGTGAAACACAGCGAGGTCCGAGGTGCCTGAGACAGGGGCGCGGCTCGGAGGGTAGCGGGGGGAGCGCAGGCGGCCCCCTGAGCTCACTCGCCTGTGTACAGACAAAAACCTCAGTCAGCAAGCAGCAGGTTAGTGCAGCACACGTACACACGCACAGGCACGCAGACCTGGCTAGGGCCCTTGGACCAGAGCTGCCTCAAACTGCCAGGTGGCATTGTCACCTTCATCCCCCCAGATCAGCCCTATGGGGGGGTGTCAGCCAGAGACTGAGTCTCTGGAGTTCCTGGGTATCAGGGGAGAGGGATGCATAGGCATCAGGAGCACCCCAAAGTCTGGGGATGTCAGACGACATCACAAAGCGAGAAAAGAACAGAGACAAGGGTTAACACTGAGAAACATCACATGGGCAGCAGGCCCAGGGCGGGGGCTGAGGGCGGGAAGGTCAAAGGAACAGATGCCACTGGGTTTTGGTGGGGCCTAGAAGGCAGGACTAGAGTATTAGGGCTCGGCAGGTTCCTGGGATATTATATTGGGCAGCTCTCAGAGCTGGCCCTGGACAGGCTTGAAGGGACTGAGGTGACTGAGGGAGGTAGGGATGGACAAGGTGCTGAGACTTCCACAGGGAAAGTGAAGAGAAAAGCCAGGTAACCAGCCGCACCCCGGAGAGAAGAATCCACTGGCTGGGGTGGGCACGGGGCAGCCTGCTCAGTACCATCATCCTGCTACCCAAGAGGCCCCCATCCTTCTTGTACCCTGATTCAGGGTTCATGGCTCTGCTCACCCTGACAATCCTGGAGCCCCTGAGATGCACCATGCCCAAGTTACCCCAAAAGCCACTCCGAACGGGTCCAGTCACCACAGACTCTCTCCCCCACTGCTACCCCCGCAAACCATTAAGTTTCTGCACAGCAATGGGTGGGGAAGGGATGGGAAGAGGAGACGCTGGGGGAGAGCAGGTAACAAAACTTAGAAGAGCATGCGGCGGGCAGGATGGTGGCAGCAGGGAGCAGGGTCTCGAGTTGATGCCTGGGGTGAGCATGATCAGGTGGATAGAGGTCGTGTCAGTACTGAATACACAGGACTATTTGTTGTGTGGCCTTGGGCAAGTCACTTCCACTCTCTGGTCCTCTGTTTGCCTGACTATAATAGAAGGAGCTGGACTTGAGGACCTCTAACACCCTTTCAAATTGGCATCCTCTTGAGGTGGTGAGATTTGGCCGTAGGGCCAGGGTGGGGCTGCACCAAGTGTGAGGGACGTACCTCGGACCTCCAGGCGGGCTTCGCACTGCCGCGCTCCGTATTCATTGACTGCTTTGCAAGTGTAGAAGCCAGCGTCACCCCGCTCAGCTGCCAGGATCCGGAGCCGGCACAGCCCATCCTCTGCCTCCTCAGCAAAGCGCCGCTGGTCTGGGCGCACAGGCTGCCGGTTTCTCAGCCTGCCAGAGGGGCAAGAGTTCATGACCTGGCCCAACACCTGGCCTGCAGGGGAGTAAAGCTCCTGAATCAAGCAGGCCTTCCCTCCTCATCCAGTGCCCTTCCACTCCCCCCCCC